TCTCTGCTGTAGCCCCTGCCCTTTGGAATATCTTGCCCCTGGAGGTGAGATTGGCCCCCTCGCTCCTGACCTTTCAGAGGGATCTGAAGACCTGGCTCTGCCATCTGGCCTGGGATGAGGAAGGGGATCATCAAGTGTGGGGTTGGCTAGTCCCTTAGTGGCCTGACGTTGCTGCCTTGAACCATCAGCCTCCTGGATTTTTTCCCTTTTATTTTTGTGAATGTGTATTGTTATAGATTTTAATTGTATATTTATTTAGTGTTTTAACATGTTGTGAGCTGCCCAGAGTCCCCCATTGGGGGGAGATGGGCGGGAGACAAATTTAATAAATAAATAAATAAATAAATAGTTACATGTGATTTGGATGGCATGCCAATTAAATGGATACAAAGCTGGTTTGACAACTGTATTCAGAAATTGTCATCAATGGTTCTTCATCATAATGAAGAGAGGTATTGATCTTGGGCTGCCACAAAATCAGTCCTAGATTCATTATTATGGCTGGAATAACGAATACCTTAGACAACAGAAATAAACTGCACAATGATCTTGAAAGGTTAAAGAAATAGGCTGAAAGTAGCATGCACAAATGCTAAGTTCTTCATTTAGGAATAATAATTAAATGTTAATAAATAAAAATTAAAAATTAAAAAATGCAATAGGACTTGCCATTATACCTATACGTGGTAACTGTATTTGTGAAAAAGATTTTGGAATATTAGTTGATTGAAAATTGAATGTGAGCCACCATTATGGTGCAACTGTAAAAAAAGGTAAATGCAGTATTAGGCTGCATTAATTGAAGCATAATTTTCATATCATAGAATGTAATCATTCCACTTACATTGATTCAGTCAAACCCCACCCTGAATAGTATGTTCAGTTCTGAGCTATTAACTATCAAGAAAACAATAAAAATAGGAAGAATATCTGAAGGACTGTTATGAAGAATATGCTTAGCTTCTGACAGATAAAGCCACTTGGGTTTGTTCACAGTTGGACTCTGGCTCAACAACCCCTATAGAGTTGACAAAAGAGAGGTCTGAGGAGTTTGAGCCTGTGAGGAGTTGGAGTCTGATTGGAGTTTTCAGGGTTGTTAGTGCTACTACTTGTCTATTAGACCTGTGTCCCTCCTGGTTAATCAGGTGACCAATACCTGGATTCCACCAGTGGTTAATACAACCTTGATTGAGAGGGTTGTCTCACCTCCCTTGAAGAAGGTGCTGGTACTTCCAGAAGCCATTGCTGAACCCAGAAATGCTGGATATTTTTTTTACTTGCCTCCAACCTTTCCTTTTGGGGGAAAGCTGTGGAAAAGATGGTGCTATGACAGCTCCAGAGGGCCCTAGAAGAAGTTGCTTATATGAACCCTTTTCATTTGGGTCTTGGGCCTAGGTACAGCACCAAAAAAGGATTCATCATGTTTGTGGATGATCTCTAGAGGAACTGGGATAGGGGTGGTATGACTTTTCTGTTCCTGCTTGATCTCTCTGTGGTATTTAATACTGCCAATCATTTATTTTATTAAATCTATTTATATGGCTGCCCATCTTGCAGATGCAACTCTGGGCAGCTAACAACACATTAAAAAACAATAGAAAAAACAGTATCAACAGAGCATAATACACCAAAATGGTTGCTGAGAATAAACCAGAAAACATTCAGGAAAACAACATATCACAGGCCATCTAACCTCCCAACCCCCCATGTCCTGGAGCACATCCAAGTCTTCAATACTTTGTGAAAGGGGACAATCTAATCTCAGGTATGGTGCTCCAGAGGACAGGCACTGCGACCGAAAAGGCCCAGTTCCTAGGTCCCATTAGATGCCTTTTTTTATAAATTGAGGGGACCTGGAGGATGCCCTTCCAGTTGAACCTGATGGGATGGGCAGACACAACCAGGGAGAGTTAGTGTGCCAATTATGACCTCTCCTGGACCAGGAAACTCTTTTCATAGTCACTCATGGTTTGTCACCTCCTCTTTGGACAACTGCAATGCACTGTCCTTGTGGCTGCCTCAAAGACCACTTGGAAGCTACAACTGGTCCAGAATGTAGTGGTGTAAGTAGTTACGTGTGGTTCCATATTTTGCCAATGTAATATCTTTGTTTTATGAGCTGCACTGGCAATTCAAGGTACAATTCAAGGTGTTGGTTGTGTAGGATGAATTTTGAGGGTTTTGATTTTAGACCCCAGTTTACATAATAGCTCTCTAACAGGCTGCACTGCAAACTGAATAAAACAAATAGGTGCTTGGAATTTTTAGCTGCACCTAAAAATGTATATTTTAATATGCATATAAATTAATCCAATCAGTAACATTATCAATCTCATTGATTGTAAGGTCTTATCACCTTGCTGCTAATTAATTGTAACTGTATGGTAGCCAATTAAATGAATTAAATGAAAGTAATGATTTGTATATAAAGAGGGCTTGTAACTTCTCCTGGGCTTTTGCTTATTGGCCTCCAGTATCATATCTGTCAGTAAATCAAATTATGCTTCACTGTAATTGTGCCTCGGTCTCCAGCTTCAATATACCCCAAAGGGGGGAAAATCTCTTACAGCATTACTATGAAGTCCTTCATGGCTTAGAACCTGGATATCTATAGGACTGCCTTTCTCCTTTCATTTTTGCTAATTAGTAAGATCTGGTAAAGTTGACACACTCCAGATCCCAGTTGTAAAACTTCATCTTGTGGAACCTAAGGAGATAGAGATTCGCCTTCTCTGAAGTTGTGCCTGCCCTGTGGAACAATGTTTCTCTTGAAGTCCATATGGCCCTGAACCTGCTGTGCTTTTGAAAAGTTGTAAAAACTCGGTACTTTCAGTAGATTCTAAAGTAGGGTAAGGTGATCCATCTATCCCTGATAGTGTATCTTGTTTTTATGACCGAGATGGAGTTTGGTTTATCCTTCTCCAATGTGTTGCAAGTATTATATTTTTCTTGGTTCTTGCTTTTTTTTATTTTTGCTGTTTTTAAACCATAATTTGTAAGCTGCCTGGAGTTACTCTGGTGATTGGAGTGGCATGCAAGTAAATAAATAAAGAAATAAATCCCTATATAAAATATACTTTCACTCTTTTCTTTTTAGATGGATGGATGGTGCTTTTTTAGATCTCAATGGAGAAAGGATGGAAGGTGAAGTAGATGAATTTTTTCGAGAAATTTATAAGACATTAAGATTTTTTCAACAAAAGCTAAAGAAAGCTGAAATAGAAAGAAAAAAGTCATTACGAAGAGCAGTAGTTGAAGAAAGAGTAGAGGAAAAAAAGAAGGACACCCCAACTATTTCAATGTGTAGTGCAGTAATGCAGCAGATTAAAGATTTCAAAGTAAGTGTTCAATTATAAAGCAAGTTTAAAAAATGTACATGCTGAAATCTCAGAAACATTTAACAATGGCTATATTTGCATGATATGCTGAACTGCATCATGGGCAAAACTAATAGGGCACACAAACTTTTAAATCCAGTGAATGATGAAGTTATAGAGGAGCAGTTTTAATCCAGGTAAGGTTTAGGTTAAAATGTTCTTCCCTGGTCAGCTGAGTCATGTTAATATTATTAACTCAGTCAAAAGTGGAACAACTGCCTAGCCTACATAGGCAGTCTCAAAGAACACATTACTAGAGACTCAACACAGCCACTGACCACACATTTTTTATACTGATTGGTTACATAGGCCAATCAAGCCTAACACCTGAAAGCTGAGTTCTTTTATCCTTTTTTTGGCCACTAAACTGATGGAGGGTGACAATTGAAATGAGATTTCCCTTCCAAAAGAAAATAAATTGAAAGTTTATTAGGATCATAGCAGACTGGTATAAAAAGAGTAAAAACATGATATAAAATGATCCATAAATTTAAAGCAGAATAAATGAAACAATTGGATTATAATTAATTAAAATCATTAAATTATGTAAATGGTAAATCAGGAGCCAAACAAGGCATAATCAATGAAAAAAGGTTGTATTAATTCAAATTAGGAGAAATTATATTAAATTCCAAACCTTTTCCAATGTAACTACTGTATATATAAACATTCTAAGTATTTATTCTGAATGTATTAACCACTCACATGAAGACTCAAGATTCTTAGATAGTTTTCAGGTTCAGATGATAGTACCAAAAGTACATAGAAAAAATATAAAAATTCAGTAAAGGAAAAGAGTTCTGAAGAAAACACATTTTCATATCAACTAAGGAAAATCAAATAGAATGGCCTGTTTCTGCATCTTGGGAGAGAGGTTAATAGCCTAGAGTTACAAAGAATTCAGCAGCATATCCATAATACCCAAGAAAAAGCTCCTGTTTTGTCTGTGGCACAATATTTTATGATTTGACTGGCCACTATGCTTTAGATATCACCTGCAAATTGCATTGGTCACTACTTTGCTTTCTTATTGGTTACTGGTTATGGCTTAGAACCTAACACCTAAAACCCAAAATACTATGTCACCAGATAGTTAAGCCAAAACATCACACGTTCTTTGATCTTACACTTTTTAACTTATTTTCTCACATCTGGACTGTCCTGCTAGTAACCAAATTATAATTTAATCATTCCAAAGGTGTTCTTGGCACCAGTCAAGAAGGCACTGGTGATTTCCAGAGTTCTTGTCAATACTGTTCTGTGTAAAGGGTCATGGGACACCAGGCAATTCCTGGAGAAGGCGTAAGGGAATTCTACATTCCCAAAATATTGGGTATTGACCCAATTAAATGAGATTGTGTGCTGCCAGAATCACCAGAAAGGAGATATGACTGACTAGATTGGTGTTATGCAAACAGGGCCAATGTCTTCTGAAAATGATAGGCAATTGCCTTACAAATGTGTGCATATGTGTGTGAGTGTGTACATATGTATGTATGCATAAATAAATAAATATGTGCTTTCAGCCATCCTGCCAAAAATACTAAATAATTTTCAAATTTTGTATAACATTTTAATTTTTTTCTCTCAACTAGGAAAATATCCCCTTGGTGACTACCCTTTGTAATCCAGGTATAAAAGCTCGTCATTGGAAACAGATGTCAGAAATTGTTGGATATGATTTAACTCCAGATTCAGGAACTACCTTAAGAAAAGTGTTAAAGCAGAATCTAACCCCTTACTTAGAGCAATTTGAAACCATAAGTATGGGAGCAAGTAAGGTAAGAAAGAACATTAACTGTAAAGCCCAACATCTCAAGATTCAAGGGAATTAAATAATAAAATAATGTATTTCTTCTTTGCTGTAGGAATTTTCACTAGAAAAAGCAATGCATACTATGATGGAGATCTGGGATTCAATTTCCTTCCAAACTAGCTTATATCGTGAAACTGGAGTTAACATTCTGTCTGCTGTTGATGAAATCCAGACAATTCTAGATGATCAGATTGTAAAAACACAAACAATGAGGGGATCACCCTTCATCAAGCCATTTGAAAAACAAATGAAGGTATTTCCTTTCTCTATTCTCTTTTAATTCTGGATGTATGTGCATCTTTAAACTGTTGACATGTAATTCTGTATATGTGTAAGAATAAACTCCAGTCTTTACAATGAACCCACATTCCTTGATAAATTTGCTCAGGACTATAGCCTTATTTTTAATCAAAGGTAATCAAAATATAATTTATGAAAGAGTTATAGGATATTAATTTTTAAAACAATACATAATTCATACATAAGAAGGTGCAGATCATTAAAATCTAAATGGAGGTTACATTTTTTTAAAAATATTAGGACAACAGAAAGTTTTGAAAGGAATGCTTTGGTTTGACAAAAGTTTGCATAAAGAGACTATTTTCCCTTGCTTCTTATCACTCTACACCCTCATTCACCCATCTGAGTAGTCAGAATAGGAGTCTGCAGAGACATAATGCACTCACAAAAGCAGCTCCTGAAGCTCCTACATGAAACTTCAGAGCAAGATGGAGTGCCTTGGCAAAGCAGATTTCATTGGCTGAAAACACTGTATCAAGGTGAAACATTGTTCCCTCATACATGCCATGTAGGAGCAGATTGATGGATTGATTGTCCTGTCTCTCCACTTGATTGAATAAAGGTGGGAGACAACACTCCAAAAGATATAAAAGTAAGATAAAGTACAACAATAAAGACATAATTAAGAAGTTCAACTAATTATTAAAACAATCATAAAATATTTCAAAAGGCCAGGTTCTAAAACTAGAGAAAGTAAGAACCACACCCAGTTCTTGGGTACATTGTGTCCCATCTTGCAGTTACTTGCAGGTAGAACCTCTCTTTGGTAATGCCTGCATTCTAGGAATGCTCTTCTTCTTGAAATATATGATACACCTACTACTATATCTTTTGTTTAGGTGCCCACTAAAGATAATCTCTTTATCCAGAATTGCCTGCTCTCAATTATAGATGAAAGATGAGGAACTTCCAAAGTAGCCCAAAGGATAAATGAATGGAAGAGTATCTTAGTCTTCCTTTTAATTTGTATTAATATACCATCATTATAGTTTTGACTTTGCCTTTTATTTTATATGATAGATATAGATACTCTGTGCTAAGACCTTAATGCTTTTTTAGGAATGGGAAGAACGCTTAATCAGAATTCAAGAGACCATTGATGAGTGGCTGAAAGTGCAAGCTCAGTGGCTTTACTTAGAACCAATCTTTTCTTCAGAAGACATTATGCAACAGATGCCAGAGGAAGGGCGCCAGTTCCAGACTGTGGATAGATATTGGAAAGATATTATGAAATACTGTGCCAAAGATCCCAAGGTAAAGTAAAAATGATGAATCTGCTCTGATAGGTGAAATAAATACACCGTGTATTTGTAAGCTATGCACAAAACCTTTAAGCTTCTTTTCCTTTTTTGAAGTAACATGGTACTGTTGTTTCAAAAAGCCACTACTGAAAGCAATCAAAGTAGATCTATCATACCATGTGAAATAGTTAAAATTTGTTTTTAAAAAATCTGAATATATTGCAGAAATATGCTGCCAGTCTTCTTTATATGCCAGCTACTTAATAATTGAGAAATGTACATAAAGAATTTTTTTTCTATACCTGAATCAAAAGTTAGATTTAAAAGTAAACAAAAATTAGCCTGCAGCTGGTGAAAAATGACTGCACAATGGGACGTTCAATTATTATTTTTATCACTATTTCAAAATAATTAAAGGATGCTTAATGAAATAAACTTTGGAATCAGTAATCATGATTCACTCACCAACATTTCAAGAATAGAAGTGTTTTAGTGTGAAACACTAAAATTGTAAAATTGGTACTCTTGATCAATTCCTAAATTTGATAATGGACTGGGATGAAAGTGAACAAAAGTTCTGGAGTTGGGGTTCATTCAATTCTGAATGGGATCACATTCTGCTATAAGGCCCAACTGGTTGAGGAATGGTCACAGCTGGCACATTTTGTGCAAAAGTATTCCTTGACTGTTTGACTACTGCAAGGCAATATCCAGAAATTTCAGTTGTGGCAAAATGTGGCAGCTAGGTCCTGCATGTAGAGAGGTGGGATGTATATATTAACATAAATAAATCTAGATTTCCACTAACAGTCCATTTATTTTACTGCTTTCTCAGATGCCTGGCTAAAATTCTGAACCTAGAATTATTTATAAATATTGTACAAATAACATTTGTCATAGATACGTACATGGAACAACATTAGATGCACCCTCAACTATGTAGGCTATATACATGTGCTTTTAGCCACATGAAATTAATAAAGAAATGCATAGAAACTTGAACAGACTGAGGCTCCCAGCTCTGTGAAAAACATATTGGGGTATACACAATTGCCAGTTTTTAACGCGAAGTTAGACATAGGTTTTTCTAAGCCTCTACTGTAACCCTACTTAATAGTGTAATTATTGGACATATTCTAGGGTTTAGTTTTATTTCCTCTTCTTTTTTAGGTTCTTGCTGCCACTTCATTAACAGGGTTGTTGGAAAAACTTCAGAATTGTAATGATCTTCTAGACAAAATCATGAAAGGATTGAATGCGTATCTTGAGAAGAAGCGTCTTTTCTTTCCCCGGTATGCTTCTGTTGTTCATGAGTAAAACTGGAATAGATAAATATTAAATTCATATTTTTGATGCAAAGCAAACATACTCAACTACAGTAACTGATGCATTATTAATCTATTTTAGCTTTTTTTTCTTGTCTAATGATGAAATGTTGGAGATCCTGTCAGAGACTAAAGACCCTCTCCGTGTCCAGCCTCACCTGAAAAAGTGTTTTGAAGGCATTGCTAAACTTGAATTTCGCCCAAATCTGGATATTAAGGCAATGTATAGCACTGAAGGTGAACGTGTGGAATTTATTTCAACTATTTCAACTTCTGAAGCTCGGGGAGCTGTTGAAAAGTGGCTGATACAAGTTGAAGATATCATGTTGAAGAGTATTCATGATGTTATTACAAGATCAAGACTAGTATGTTTTCTGTTAAATATTTAGAATCTTATTTAGCTGATATGCATCATTATTACCTATTAATGTAAGCATTGTGTTTTTATAAAAATGTTTATTTTTATTATACATTTTATTTAATTTAAAAAAATTTTTTTTAAAGAATTGTAAAGCATTGCATATTTGCAATATATTTTTAAAACTTTTCTGTCTCTTAAGCACTTCCTGGATGCCCTTCTGATTTACCTGACTTTAATACCCTTAATCTTTAGACCATATGACCTTTGAACATATTAGTTAGGAATGATGGAATCTGAAGATTGCAACTAACAGTGCAATTACTGGTGCTAAAATTGCAGTGAAACAAAGTCAATATTTTATGGAAATTGAAATCCAGCACATTTAGAGAAGCAGCAGGTTGGGGAATACTGCTATAAGACCTATTTTTTTCTATTCTGTTTACTCTAGAACATCATATTGATTGCATAAAATCCATAAAAGCTACAAAAGTACTGAAATGTGTATCTTTTTTAGTTAAACATAACAAAACAATATTTATTCTGTTTGTCTTATTTGCTTGAAAGTACTCATATTTAGTCAGTATTGCAAAAGAAATAACAAATATTTTTGTGTTAAATTTATTATAGCTTTAGCTTTCTATTTAATGTACACAATTGTATGTTATAATGAATATAATTAACAAATTTATTATTACATAAATAAGGGTCTTCCTTTGGCAGTGTGCACATTCAGAATTTTGAGAAATGATTGTTATTGCATCATGACCATCATGGGGAAGGGGACTTGTACATTAACAAAATGGTCGCCATAATGGCATGACTAGTGACAAAATCAAAAGTAAAGAGGGGCGTAGATCCTGGATCTATCTGTAATTGTCGTATTGGAGAAATTAGACATATGCTTTAATGGATTGGAAAGCTAATATTGGTCTTTAGTATGACTATCTTACAGCACTGCCCACAGTTGTATATATTTAAGGAAGTACATCGTGTGATATAATGCAGAAAACAATGAGTGACATTTTTAAATCTGGTTTTCATTGTGTAACGTGTTGGAGGGAGATTTACATTTGAACCACTATTTCATGGAAGCTGAAAAGCTGTGTCAAATATAGATGGAAATAGACTGCTTTCACACTTGGAGAGAGATAAACAGGGTAACATCCAGACATTTGTCTTAGGACTCAACTATTTAATATGTTCATCGGTCATAACTCAGGACTAAACAATGAACTAGCTAAATTTGTAGATGATGAAAATTATTCAAAGTAGTAAAAACCCAAGTAAATTTTGAAGAATTCCAGATGAACTCTCCATAATGTGAATGGCCAAGAAGAGATGGACTATAACATTCAGTGTAGATACTGATCCACATTAGCTGAGATTACACAATATATAAGGGGAGTAAGTATGTTGTGTGAACATGATAATCTGATCATCAGTGGAGTTAGAGTGTGTCAGTTTTAACTCAAAGGAATGGCAGAGTTGCTTTGGTAAATTTACCCTCCCCAATCATCTGTGTCATGTTAACACTGAAGAAAGGGTTAATATAGGTTTAACACTTTTTACATTTGGCACAGAAATGAGAGTCTGGAGTAGCCTGCAAAAATTTGACTGCTCTACCCTTCCATCTCTTTGTTTTGTTTTAATCTTTTACTTTTTATCCCCCACTCAAATGACTACATGAGGTGAATGGGTAGGTTTCCTCTACATTATCTGTTGACCCTGATTAAGCCATTGCAGATTTAACATTTTTTTTCCAAACTAAACATAAAAGGCAGAAAGCGACAGCCTTCCAACTACCTTTGGTTTGTTTCTTTACTTCATGCCAAGTTGGCAGCTCCTTGTTTAACCATAGCATTGCTGGTATTCACTGATTGTCTGCTGCTGGCTCACCAAATAATTGCTTATTCACAAGCAGCAGCAGATCTGACTAAATTGGTTGTGTTCCCTCAGTCATTGTGAGGGAAACTACAGGTCAATACTAATGGGATGCAAACAGTTTCTGATAACTCAACAAGGAGGAGCTTGGAAGTTTTCACTTCCATGTAGATTAAACTCAACTAGCTATGCCACCCATATCTAGAGAGACTACAGTTAATCTTAGCTATAGTTAGTAGAACAAGTTTCAGTAACTCAGTCAAGATTGCCCATAGTTTATATGTGATGTACAAAATAATGGTTGTTAAAATGGAAGTGGGATATTCTGATCTTCACCTCCTAGCCATTCCAAAAGAGGGGGAAAGACTTGCTTAGCTTTAATACTGTAATGTTAAATTACGTTTTTGCATTTTATCAAATTAGTGTCTGGGTTCAGTATAATATATTCAGTTATTAATCATGATTACTGTTAAGTAACACTGATCATTTTCTTAGGCGTATCCAGAAAGCAAAAGAAAGGATTGGGTGAGAGAATGGCCTGGCCAGGTAGTCCTGTGCGTCTCACAAATGTTCTGGACAACTGAGGTTCATGAAGCCATAGCTAGTGGCCCAGAGGTATTTTTATGAGACATAAATTTTCTGATATTATTTTTGCATTACCTTTATAGCCATGTTATATTTGTTGTATGATGTTTGTACTATTAAGTCTCTTTTGAATTAATGATGCAAGATATATATTTAAATGAATACAAATATAAAAGTTAACATTCCCTGAAGTTGAATTTGACTTCTGGTGACTCTATGGATACATTCATACAAGGGTTTTTTTTTGGCCAGATAATTTGTAATTACTTCCTTCTAGGATTTTTTCTCAACTTTCCAATCTAATATATCTATATCTAGAAAAGTTTATGTCCCAAGGCTTTATTAATATTGGACACTCTTACTGTACTAAATTCTCTATGAATTCATCACAACACTTTTAGAACATTAATATCAACCCAATATTTGCTTTTAGATATGGCTGTAGGGTTATGCAGCTACAGTAGAGAAGGTGCTTTAGAGAGGAAGTAGACGTGCTTGCTGTACCAGTTGGTGCCTCTTTAAAGAAGCATATCCACTCTGGAGCACGTTTCCTGGCACCTTTTCTGCTTCAGATTTAAATAGCTGCTGCATATTCCTACAGTTTAGACATTAGGTAATAGGTTTCCTAGAAATTGATTCCCAGTTAATTTTCTTCTGTACAGAAAATTTGTGTCCAGATGAATGAGAAAGTCAGAAATGTACATGATCAGATTAAGGTTACTAAGGTCATTATAGCAATACTTGATGATTGATGATATTGGGAATAAACAGCAGAATGATAATACTGAGAAACTCTTAGCTATTCACATTAAAGTGTGTATTATAGTTGAATTTTCCATTTTCATTGTTCAGGGTTTGCAGAATTATTACCAGGCTCTTCAGTATCAGTTAAATGATATTGTAGAGCTGGTAAGAGGGAAGTTGTCTAAACAAACAAGGACTACACTGGGTGCTTTGGTTACTATTGATGTGCACGCTAGAGATGTCGTCATGGAAATGATTGAAAGTGGTATGTAACATGATTTTTTTCATTGTCATAAAATAATATATACTGATGTGTGTCTGATTTTTTCCTGATTATTTAAAGAAATAATTATTTTTTAAAATTAATTATCTCATTGTTAAAATTATAATTCTGTTATTTTAGACATCTACATAAGAGTTAAAGACTAAAAGAAAATTAGAATAAACAACAAATTTGTCTCAATTATTTTTGGTTTCTTTTCCTTTTCTGTTTTCCTGCTAAAAAGATATTGAGCCTAAGACATGTTCCTTGTTTATATTCTACTAGGTGTGTTGCAGGAGACAGATTTTCAGTGGCTAGCCCAGTTGCGATATTACTGGGAGTATGAGAATGTGCGTGTCCGCATCATCAATTGCAATGTCAAATATGCTTATGAATATCTTGGCAATTCTCCTCGACTCGTCATTACTCCTCTCACAGACAGATGTTATCGCACTCTGGTATGGTTTTAAAAATTCAATTTCTAATAAGAATTCTAAAAAAGTCAGTTAATTACAGTAAAACCTATTTGCATTTGTATTTTTGATGGTACCTGGAACAAATGTTCTCAGGATTTCTGTATTAAAGAGTGAGATTCCAATATGTTTGTTGTTCTTAAATTCATTAATTTAATAGCAGTACTGAGTTCTCCTTTGCTGGATATTTTTACTCTGAAATTGGATAGATGCTTTAATCTGAATCCTTACACTGAGCAGAGGGTTGGAATCAAAGGCCTAATGTTCCCTTTCAACCCTATGATTCTAAGAAATGAAATTTATGCATAAGTAGCACTCTCTAGATTTAGAGCACATTCTTCAAGATTATCTAATCCTGATTAAATTCAACATCTGATTCTGATTAACTTCAAATAGATTGAGAAATGGCAAGTATAAATGTGTTTGTTCTCGATTAGGAATCTGTTATTGGCATACCAAAAAAAAGCTGTCGTATTATATTATTGATTCAAAGGAAATGACAGGTCTGCTCTGAAGTTAGCTGTGCAATTACATATAATTTTATCTGTTTTCAAGCGTGATGGTTTACATTTTGAAATATTTTCATTAATGTCTTATTTTTAGATTGGAGCATTTTATTTAAATCTTGGTGGTGCTCCAGAAGGTCCAGCTGGGACAGGTAAAACAGAGACCACCAAAGATTTGGCTAAAGCTGTTGCAGTGCAATGTGTTGTCTTCAACTGCTCTGATGGCCTTGATTATCTAGCCATGGGGAAGGTAAATTGAAATGCATGTTTTTAAAAGTGTAATTTTAATTTTTAAAATATTCCTAGAATTAACAAAAACAAATAATGCTTGTTAAACAATTCAGCTTCATAGCTTGTTAGTAATTTACTTAGTTTCATATGGCTGATGACAAAGTGCTGTATGTTTTTTATTGGTTATATTAGGAATTTAATATAATTCCTAGTATAGCCAATTTTACTGATTATATTAGGAATCAGTAACTATTTATTTATTTATTTAAAACTTGTATAGCTACCCATCTTAAAACCAAACTCTGGGCAGCTTACAACCCCCAAATAAAATAAAGTATACAGCAATACAAACAAACAAACAAAACAACAAAACCAAAAACAGAAAAACCACAACCACACTTCCCAGATGCAACATGCAATATTCTTAGCCTACCTCACCCTATCCCAGTGCTTGGGGGAAGAGCCAGGTCTTAAGGGCCAGGTCTTAAGGGCCAATGATAAATATTATTCCATGATCTCCATTCATTCACAAATTTAGAGATCCTTTTTACACAACCAACCAACAGATATGGTGATATCTATGACATAGCCCCCCAAAATAACTAACCCATTTCTCTATGATAACACATGCTTGACTGGGAAGTTCTAGCTTGGTAGAAGCTAAAGGGTTGCTGCCACAAGGGGGATTATCGACATCCGTTTTTTTGAGAATGTCAGCCCTGTGCTTCCTCATTATACTTCATCTCACTATAGTGATTTGAAGCAGTAGCTACACAGTCATATGGTGGTTGTGGCTTCTAGTGTTGGAATAACCTCTAGAGAATTTTGGATAGTTTAGTTAAAGAGAGGAGGGTTAAAAAAAGGTAGACAGGTTATGTCACAGTAGCTGAACTCTGACACTATTTCATTTAAAAAAGAGAAGAGAAAAACACCTACAAGGATTTTTTATTTTTTGTAAACAAGAGCTCAATTTTTCCAGTTCAGGCACCTGAATGGCTAACAAGTTAGCATAAATTATTCCTGGACTGTTAGGACGGGCTACTTCCAAGATCCTGGATCCAGCCCACAAAACAAGTTTAATAGCGTTTCACACTTCTTATATTCATACACTCAGTCATTAAATATAAAAAGTACAGACTGATCTGATCTAATCAGTTTCACAACATCAGTGTACAGTATTATAAAGCTTGGTTAGGATAAACAACTGTAATTAGGACTTGAGAAACAAGTAAAAGAAGACAATATATTGTATTCACATAGCTTGCTATCCCATGGTTAACAGTACCATAATTTACTCACTGAACCATGAACTAACTAAACTGTCTGGGTGTGCACAATATAATACATATTCTAGTTTAGGGAGTTGTGCAAACACAACTAGTAGTGCTTTCCATGAGTATCTGGAGCAAATGGCCCTTTCATCAAAGTGACAAAACATGCATTGTGATATTGCTACACAAGCTCTACCCATATAAGCTTGTGGTGTGATGTCATGTTGCAAATACTAAAGGGGTGGAGTTTGCTCTCCCTGCCTCCTTCTGGTAAAGAAGGGTCTACACTGCTATTCTAATATTTGGGAATTTTTCAAGCTACTACTGTTGGCTAAGGATTACTACCTCATTCATATTTCTTCACATAACTAAATATAAATAATAATTTTACAGGAGCTTTCCAATTTTATCTTTTCCCCTAATTTAGTGATGTTGTTTGCCTAATAAAACTAAATTTAATTAATATAGTATTGAACGCATGTTAATCCCAAGGCATCATGACTCTTTCTGTCAGTGTGTTGAATTCTGTATTATTACTGTGTCTGATGACTGGCTGCTGTTTTGTCTTTAGTTTTTTAAAGGTTTAGCTTCTTCAGGGGCTTGGGCCTGCTTTGATGAATTCAATCGCATTGAGCTGGAGGTGCTGTCTGTGGTAGCCCAGCAGATTCTTTGCATCCAGAGAGCTATACAACAGAAGCTGGAGATATTTAATTTTGAAGGAACTGAACTGAGGCTTAATCCCAATTGTTTTGTTGCTATTACTATGAATCCAGGATATGCAGGTCGCTCTGAATTGCCAGATAATCTGAAGGTAAAATAGCAAAATAAATAGATTAACAGGGCAATTCAGATATTGCTTTTAAATAGCCATATTTAAAACTGAGGATGCTTCAGGTAGAAAGGCCTGTGTATTTCATATGCATAAAATAGTTAGCCATATGAACAGCATGTGCCAATGTTTTATTTGCATACATCTTAACATTTCTAATGGACAGATATACATATAAATCAGTGGAAGTGGAAGTGGAAGTTGTCCTGAATGAATTAATAAACCAAATTACATATGTAATTTTCTGACAGTGGGAGAAGTAGAGATCTCATAATAATATAACATTTTCTCTCTAGGGCCAAGCTTGAAAGCATTGTTCTATGGGCTTTTGAATTGTTTGGTCTGAAATGAAAGCCAGTCCTGTTTTAATAAAAGGATGGTTACCAGCCAGCACACGCAATATCTAAAATAAACCTTCCTTCCGAGCAATTTTACAATAGTCTATTAAATGGCTTTTTATTGTGAAAGATTATAGATGTTGCTCATACAAAATACAGTAATTTTATGATACAAGTTTTCAGAGATAATAGTAATACATACGTTTTTATTCTATCTAAGGTTCTCTTCCGAACAGTGGCCATGATGGTTCCTAATTATGCCCTCATTGCTGAAATCTCTCTGTATTCTTATGGGTTTCTGAATGCTAAGCCATTGTCTGTGAAGATAGTGATGACCTACAGATTGTGCTCAGAACAACTTTCGTCTCAGTTCCATTATGACTATGGGATGCGTGCAGTCAAAGCAGTGCTAATAGCTGCTGGTAACTTAAAACTGAAATTTCCAACAGAGAATGAGGATATACTGGTAAGAACTGCAATGCAGTTTACAAACTTGCACTTACTCCAGGTTAAATGCATATTTTTGCAATTAACTGTAGACTTTGTTTAATTAAGTTGATTTTTTTGTTTTGTTTTGTTCAGCTCCTTCGATCAATCAAAGATGTAAATGAGCCTAAATTTTTGTCTCATGATATACCTCTATTTATGGGAATTACAAGTGATTTATTTCCTGGCATTAAGCTTCCTGAAGCTGACTACAGTGTGAGTACATTTGTAGAATTTTGTTTCCCAGTAATATTTTTATTTGCCTTAGGTAATAATTATTTGCTATATGTTGACAATGATGACAAAGTTTTGATTTGTAATGATGGTAAGAAAGTTTAGTTCATTTCTATGAAACAAAGGCTTACATTCAAATTTAATGCATTTATAGAAGTTAGTTCCTTAACTTTTAATAACTAATGAAAACACTTACTATAGTCTTTCAATATGTGGCTTAATTTTGACATTTATGCCTTTCCTCCTAGAATGGTCTTTCTAGACTCTTGCTAATCTAGTCCAACTTTCATGATAAATATTTTTTTTCAGTGTCTTAAGATTTTCTAAAATCTCCAACTCCATTAGCAAACAACCAGAATAGCTGACTGATAGTATAATTCTGTTCATGTCCACTTAGAAGTCAGTCTAATTGAATTCACTTGAGCCTAGTCCCAAAGAAGTATATTCTCTTGGGAGTTATTGTAGTTGAACATAATCAAACTCTTGTCTAACGTATTTAGGATTGTACCATACATTATAAAGGATTGTGCAGTATGTTCACAGTCACTCATGCCTTGGTTAGATGATTGCAATGCATTCTACATGTGGCTGCTCTTGAAGACTACACAGAAGATATTACTGGTCCAGAAGGCAGAGGTGTGGATAGTTAAAGGCACACCATGGTACACTCAGGTAGCAGCAGTATTTCACAAACTGCACTGGCTTCCAATATACTACTGGATGCAATTCAAGATGCTGGTTACACTTGTAAAGCCTTCCATGGCATAAAGCCAGATTGTTTTCAGGACTGCCTATCTGAAATTTCTGCACATTCTACAAGATTCAACAGAGACCCTGCTTTGGGTCTTCTGTCTGAAACAAGCCATTTAATGGGACATAGGAAGCACTCCTCTGTCGTGGCACCTGCCCTATCTGAGATTCAGAGGGCTCTGACCTTGTGGCCTCCTATAAGACTTTGAAAATCTAGTTCTTGTCCTGGACGGTAGGCTACAGTATTATCTGAGCCTTTTTTGTAAAGATTAGGTGAATAATTGTGTTTCCTCTCAGATATGTTTTATTTCTATTTCTGGTTTTGCTTTTGATTATTCTTTGTTGTTAACCCAATATTAGCTGCCTCCTGGAGTTGTAATAAGTAAGACGAGAAGCCATGGCCATATAAATTGAATAAATAAATAAATTGATTAAATAAATAAATGTAACTTAGCTCAGTTTTAATTTTCTTTCCAGGGCCATTATCAAGATATTCAGTGTTATTCAGTGATATTCAGTGAGCAGTGTTATATTTTGAATTATATTATTCAATTATATTCAAGAAACAAAAAAATATAGAATTTACTTTTAAAATTGTATTTCAGGATTTTCTGGAATGTGCAAATGAATGTTGTAAAGAGCATAACATTCAGCCTGTTAAGGTTTTTCTAGAAAAGATGATACAGACCTATGAAATGATGATAGTTAGACATGGGTAAGTATATTTGTGATAACCTTCATAAGTATTTGTTATGGTTTCACCAATATGACAGTTGGTATACAGGAGAAATTATGTTAATACCATTACAACTAAGAACAACGTAAAGCTGTCCCGTTGGGGATAAGATAAAGGCGATATGAGTGGGATGGGCAGGAGAAAGACATTGCTGTACCATGGGTATGCTATGGTTAGATGCAAGTCTTATAGAGATCAAGAAGCTAAACTTTACCTTTATAAAATGGTAATAGATGAAGGTTCAGCCATACTAGTATAGGTGATGAATTGTGTATTCAGGGTTACTCCATAACTTCAATCTAATCTCATTTTTTTCTGAGTTACCATGAATTTCTCTTTTAAATGTAGAGCAAGCAAGTAAGCAAACACGCCATTAGATTCAATTACATAGTCACAGTTGTTTGAGCGTGTAGCGTTCTGCTATAATCCGTTCTTTGCTGTTAGCCAGGTTTTAAGGGTAACCTGTTTAGAGAAGTGAGTCAATCCAGAGTTTGGAATGAACCAGATAGAGGAGGCCAGGAGCCAATGGTAAGAAAAAGAAAAGGATAATACAGAACAGGAAGATTTCAATTTCTTTTGGTATTAATAAATATGTTGGAACATTTCTCTGGCTTTGGCACCTTTTTTCTGTCATCTGCAAGAGGCACAATGGAGCCAAGCTAATAAGGTTGGTCCATATTGTTGCTAAAAGAATCAAAATGAGCAGTGAATTAGCTATCAAAGTGACACTACTATTTGAAAAGACTCAGTGTTCAGGATTACAATGAATTTGTTTAATGAAATTCAAGTTTGCATTAAAAGTAAAAAAGACATCCAAACATGCAAAATGGCACATTTAACAATACAGTATTATCTATCTGTCATATTATTTGTCTAAAAGTGCAGTTCCTAGACGATCTCATCATGTTATCAGAGACAGGGTAAAGAAGCCAAATGATCAAAAAGCAGCAGCAGTTGGAAACTACGGCTGGTTTTATAAATGTATGCTGTTGTAGGGGTCTCTTATTTTTTATTGATGTAAGGAGTCCACAATGGGGAGTCTGTGATTGGATTCACATAGTATTCTAAAACAATGCAAAATGTGCCACATTATGTTTTTAATGCAATATGTAATAAGTCAAACATACATCTATAACTGTACCTAATGTATGATCACCTTTCATTTTTGGAGAAATAGTGTGAGAGAGATCTTCCAGTTGAAAAGTTAATGGATACACGCAGCTTGCATACATGCACACATACCATCCTGCACACACTCTCAACCCCCCTGCCCACATGACAAGTAGGTAGCTGGGGGGAAGGGATTTGAAGATACTGCATCCGAAGAAGCAGCTGGAAAATGGATTTTTGAGTATCAGAATTATGGTTGAGCTGTTGGAATTGGACACATTATTTGATTTATATCTGCTGAAATGAAGAAAGACTCTTGGTGATGTCCTTATGTCCATAAAATACATTAAATGTTCATGGTATAAATATAAAAGAAACAAACAATAAAATAACCACAATGACACTTAAAACAAACTCTTGATACCAATGGCATCCATTCATATCCCCAAAGATTCTCTGAAATAATTTGGTTTTTAATAAGTTATGGAAAACCAATATAGGCTGACTGACTTTCTGGAGGGAGGCTTTTCCACTTGAAAAATTCAGCCAGTTTTCCTTACTGTAACTTCATAAAAACTCACTGTACTCCTGCCCTCTATTTCTTTCCTTTTCTATAATTCAATTAGACTGTTTTCATTTTTGTGGCAATAAATGGATATGTATCTTCAGGGTTAATTATGTGGGTAATCCAATTCCTTTTTTGGGCAGAAAAAAAATACTGAAAAATTTTATTTATCAGGTTTATGCTTGTAGGAGAGCCTTTTGCTGGGAAGACCAAAGTTTTGCACGTGTTAGCAAATACACTTTCCCTAATGAATCAGCGTGAGTATGGAGAAGAAGAAAAGGTAATATACAGAACTGTAAATCCAAAAGCTATTACAATGGGGCAACTCTTTGGACGATTTGATCCAGTATCTCATGAGGTAAGCATCACATGTTCCTTAAATTACAAAAATGTATCTTATAGTTTTGATCAATCTAAACCTTCAGGTAGGGTAGCTCCATTAAACTGCTTGTGGTTGAGTATGGGGATTGGCTAACTGCATTGTAATACATAAGTGTCTGTGTATTTCTATACTTTTGTGCATGTTTCAGGAAATGTTCCAAATGCAAAGTTTTACCAACTAAAATAATGACTAATACCAGTCCTTCTTTATTTGATTGGTTAAGACCACCCAACTCCACAAAGACTCTGGGCAGCTTACAAAATATCAAATGTATAATTAAAACACAGTTAAAAACATAACATAGCAAAACATAACTGTCCACACAAGTCAACATTAAAAAAACATGACGGGCTCCACAAGTACCCTAACCCCAGGCCTGGCAGCAGAGCCAGGTCTTAAGTGACTTCCAGGACACTTGAAGAGTGGGAGCCAGATGTATCTCCAGAAGGATGCTATTCTAGAGGGTGGAGATTTTTTTTTTTTTAATTAAGTTTATCAAGTCACTGCACAATTGTCAGCAATCATGGAGGAAAATTATTAAAATTATTAATCTCCTTAGTTTGATCATTCAGAATTACATATATTTTGCTAAATGTCAATTTAATGTGGTATGTGTTTGAAACACGACCAGTTGTGCATATTTATTTACATTACCAAATCAGTACACATGTCAGGACAATATAAGCAAATAAAATTTACTTGTGTCTCTCTTCTTCATTTTAGTGGACAGATGGCGTAGTTGCCAATACTTTTCGAGAATTTGCTTTAACTGAAACAACTGACCGCAAATGGGTTGTTTTTGACGGTCCAATTGATACTCTTTGGATAGAAAGCATGAACACTGTGTTGGATGACAACAAAAAGGTAATGCTGTTAAGTACCTTGGATTTCGGGGGGGGGGGGGGGGGAGGGATTGCATTAGTTTCCAAATTGCCCACTTCTTCCAATTATTACATTCACGTACTTAATTTTCAGTTAAGCAGACTTCTTGTTCAGCTTTCATATAAAATACCATAAAAAGAAAACGTAAAATTATATTTCAGTAAGAACCTCCATGGTGCCCAGTTTTAAAAAGGCTTAGCAGTACAATATGTATTATAATTCACATTTTTAAAACTATATTAAAGGAAAGGGGATACATGATTAGATGATACAAAAAAGAATTGAATACAAACAAATGCAGAAAAGGAAATAAAAAAGATTACTCCCTGTGTTGAGCAAGAACATAACAGCAAAGTGTCTTGTGAAAGCTTTCTAATATAGACCCTACTTTTTAAAAATACTTGTAAAGCTTGTCCTTAAGTAATATATTCTTTAAAATTTACCATTTCTAGCTGGTAAAAGTAGCAGAATTCTCTCTTGGGCTGCACACAGCAAACTTTCTTAGTTTACCCACTGTAACATTAATGTATTCCTCCTCAAGACAGCTTTCAAGGCATGAAAAATCTTATAGAAACTATGGTTATTTTTATGTTTGGCTATTCTGAATGCATCTACTTAAGTTGGCCTTAGCTGAGACACATTTTTTCTCAACCCAAGGTTGGGTAGAGTCCTTTAGAAAAGGATGTAACTGTGTTTAGAATGGTCTTACATGGACTGCAGCATGAAAACTGATAAGCACTTAGTGCTTAGGAAGGAAGGAATTAACCAAATAAATGAAAATAATGAATACAAGTATGTTTTACTGTACTGTATTAGTTTTAGCAAACTGAACAATTATTAGGTATTTTGATGTTTGGTTCTTCATCTGTTATCATGCAATAAAAAGATATATTTGAATCTTATTTAACAGGCAATTTAATACTTACCATAACATAGTTCTTTTTAGTCCAGAATAACTTTACTGTTTACTAGGAAATTGACACACATACAGTTAAAAATGCAAACGAGAATCCTTTCAGTTCAAAACCGATGCTTGTTGCAGTGTCATCAGATGATCAGAAATTGTAAGGGATAGTGAGGAATGGTAAGGCAAAAAATATAGTAATGTTCACTTGCTCTAATAGCATGCTGGTGACAAACACATCTTCTAATGGTGGACATCTAATCTCTGCAGAGAGCGCTGGGATTTATCTGACTCAGGATGCACCCATGCTTGCCTGAGTGCTAGAGGACTTTAAAATTTGGGTGACCATGAAGTGAATGGTTACAGCCATTTCTTTGAATAGGACAATCGGTGCTAGGCATGAGAAGATAGATTAAGAGGGCTGGAGTGCCATGTGGAACAATATAAAGCACTTGAGGCAGAACAGTTTCATTGTATAGATCCAAGTCACACAACAGATTCTGAGAAACATGACCTGTTTAAATAAACTCCTGGTTCTCATTTCATTACAGGTAGTCCTTGAGTTACGATAGCAATTGGGACTGGAATTTCCATCGCTAAGCAATGCAGTCATAAAGCGCAACTGCATTGCTTAGTGACAGCAGTCACTGCAGTCTCGGTTGTTACGTGTGGCAACTTCCTTTTTTTTAATAATAACTTTATTAAATTTTGAAAAAAGAACAATAAAAACTAACAAGAACTAATATTAAGAAAAAGAATAAGAAAAAGAAAAAAGAAATTGAAAAAAGAAAATAGTAAAGATCAAAAGTGCAGAAAAGGAAAGAAACAAAAGAAAAAAATATTGACTTCTGATCCTCCTTGCAAACATCAAACTATTACTCTAAATTTACAACATAACTTCCATTATTTCTATCAACCCATATTATTTCTAATCAACAAACTCATACAACATAATTTCATTTTTTTCTGTTTCCTGAAAAAAGTCCAAAAGAGGTTTCCAGTTAGCATTAAAATTACACAATGTCTTATCTTGAATCAAAGCTGTCAATTTCGCCGTCTCAGCCAACTCCATCAACTTCACCATCCTTTCATCCACTGTAGGTAACGTCTTATCTTTCCACCTCTGTGTATATAAAAGCCTTGCTGCTGTTATCATATATAAGAACAAAGTTCCATGAGTTTTTTCCAACTGTTTATCCATCAAGTCCAAAAGGAAATTCTTTTGTTTTGATTGAATATTAATCTTTAAAATCTTCTGTATACAAATACATATCTCATTCCAGAATTTATTTGCTTTTTTACAAGTCCACCAGAGATTATAAAATGTCCCTTCTTGTTGTTCACATTTCCAGCTTACATCTGAAGTGCCTTTATACATTTTAGATATTTTTTCTGGTGACAAGTACTAATGATACATCATTTTATAAAAATTCTCTTTAAGATTACAACACAATGTAAATTTCAATCCCTTCTGCCACATATTTTTCCATTGTTCCATTGTTCCATCTGTATGTTATAGCCAAAAATTTTAGCCCATTTTATTATACAGTCCTTGTTCATCTTCTGTCTCTAGTTTTAATAGTAGTTTATACATCTTTGCAATAACATGTTCAACATTAGTATATAGTTCTACTTCAAATTCAGTCTTATATTCAAAACCATAAGTCATTTTATTTATTTTAAATCTTTCTTGTAATTGTACATAGGAGAACCATTGATACATGTATTGTCAGGCCCAGCCCAAGAACAACAGGGAAACAGTCCAGCCAAGTTCAGTTCTTTATTGCTTATACCATATAGACAGAATCTTGCCAGACTAAATCTGTACTATGCTAACCTAATAGATATACTCTGGAAGAATCTAGGGAGCGGCTATCTTAAGTCTCTTCTTCTTCCCACGCTCCTGCTCTGGACTATATTGCCTCTTGTCTCCCCCTTTCCCTCCTAGAATGCGCTCCCTCCTTCCTGAGAACCTGGATCTCTACTGCATTCCATTACACCACCTCCCCTTTCATAGATACATTCCATCCCATGTATCCTTCTAATACCACTTCCTCTCTTGTCTTTAAAGTCCCTTTGAGAAAATTCCAATACATCACCATAAGTTAACCATTTATGTTTAGCTATCATTTCTCTTCTATAAAAAGCTTCTTGTGGTGACAACCACAAAGGAAAGGCGAGGCAATTTTCTTCTGGCTTCCCACAACCAAAGTCAGTGGGGAAGCCGGAAGGAAGTTGCAAGTCCCAGGCCTGCAGGCAGGTAAGTGGCTGCTGCTGGGTGGGGAGGGAGAAAAGGGGTGCAGGGAAGGGTCAGGGAGAGTGAATAAGAGTGTGCAGTGGTGCACAAGAGGCACTGCATGGGCTGGGGAGGGTCAGGGAGGGTGTGCCAGGGTGCGAGGGGGTGTGCGAGAAGAATGGTGCAGTTTGGGAAATGTGTGCAGGGGTGCAAGGGGGTGTGGGAGAGGCGCCACGTGGGTCAGGGAGGGTGCATGAGGGTGCAGGGAGTGTGCAAGAGGCACCGTGTGGGTCAGGAAGGGCATGCAGAGGTGTGGCATGGGTCAGGGAGGATGCACGGGTGGGGAAGACTTACCCCAGTGACTTGCAGTCTTCCCTGCTGGCTTCCCCATTGACTTTCTGGGGAAGCCAGCAAGGAAGGTTGGAAATGGTGATCCCATGTTCATGGAGTGGTTGGCAACTGGTTGTAAGTGCAAATAGGTTGCCAACCATCCAGATCACGATTACATGACCATGGGGGTGCTGGGATGGCTGGAACTCCAAGGACCAGTTGTAACCACCATTTGTTCAATGCCGTCATAACTTGGAATGGTCACTGAGAACTACCTGTATTTTACTATACAGAGGACTTCTTTGGTTAGATAATATTTTAAGAATCTTCCGAAAAAGTAATAGTGGTAAATTCATTTAAAACAGAATTATGCCTCAATTAAAGTTGTTAAGAAATGCCTGAAAGATCATTATTCATAAATGATGCACTTGAAGTATTTTTAAATTTGATCAGCAGGAAACTTTTTTTTTATTATACCATCTGAAAAGATAATTAATTATGCAGAGAGCTCAAAAAATTAAACAAGTCTTTACCTGTATCTTTACTTGCCCAATCAAGTCTCCCATTTACTTACATTTCAAGTTGGTCTCAAATGCAGGAGAACTGATAAGAGCTGCACATACATACACATACATATAACTTGGATTTTTTTTATATCTGTTTTTGTTTCTAGCTATGTTTGATGAGTGGAGAAATTATTCAAATGTCACCTCAGATGAGCCTCATCTTTGAAGCTATGGATCTGTCTCAGGCTTCAGTATGTTAAAACCAAGTTAAAATAGTTTTCTGAATCTGAACCTGGAACCAGAATGAGATTCTAAAAATACATTTATTATTCTGCTATAGCCAGCTACAGTCAGTCGATGTGGAATGATTTACTTAGAGCCTTTACAGTTGGGCTGGAAGCCACTTGTTACTTCATGGTTGAGGACACTTCCTGAAGCCCTGCATGAAAAGGAATACCAAGACCTTTTTGAAGACCTTTTTAATTGGTTAATACCACCTGCTTTGCGAGTTCGTCAGAAACAGTGCAAGGTAATTTGGCATTCTCTCAAGAAAATTATTTAATTAGCATATTTTTGTTGACAGAAACATATGTTGGTGAAGCCAGCTTACTATTTGGAATTCTAAATATTTTTAAGCTTGTACAATCCAAAGATATGAATAAGCTGCTGGGAGTATAGGTAGTCCTCGTTTAGTGACCACACTTGGGACTGGCAACTCAGTCATTAAGCAAAGTGGTT